CTGTGGGACAAATGGATATACGGGCTGCTGCCAGCCAGGTCTGAGGAGATGTGACTCTGCCTGGGGAACTCTCCTCACTGCTGGCTGCCTCAGTTTCCCCACCTCTGAGATGGGTATAATGGGAGCACGGACAAAGGGCAGTGAAACCAAGAGCTGAAAATGGCATGCCAGAGTGCAAAGTGTTGCTACCCAGACATGGAAAGCCCCTCAAATGGGGTTTTTGAGGCTTGTCCTGGTACCAGTCACCTCTTACAGTGATATTCCTCTGCAGTGCTTATGGCATTACCACTAGCTGGAGGCTGAGCGTGGACAGGCACAAAAGCAGGTCAAAAACCTGAACTTATCTTACGAGGTGAAGAAGTACAGGCAGGCAACAAACAGCTTTCAATTCCTCTGTACCCCCTACTGATTTAAGTGCTTATAAAATTATGCAAGGTGATTTCATACATCTCTGTCAACATGCTGGAGCTAGCAGAACTTGCCTAATTTTATTTCTCAGCAGCCACTACCTGAAGTCCCCGTAGCTATCTTTAACTCCCTCCTTCCAGTTAAGTATCCTGCCAGCTGCTGGCTGGCACTGATGGACTGTCCCAGCTGAGTGATGCTGTGACAAGTGCCAGCTGGGTGATGTCCTCTCCTGGGCTCAGCGGCAGAGCTGGGCTCTGCTCGTGGTTGTGCCGGTCACACGTGGACTGAGTGCCTTTGGTCCTTGAGAGCCCAAGGATTGTCACTCTGGTCCTGTGCATTGAAAGGGAACTGAATTCATCTGGCAATTTAACCTCCTTCCAAAAATATAAACTTTAGAAGTATCCCTTTCTTTCCTCCAAATTTAAGAAGAACCTCTTATGAATTCCTCATCACTGCACACCTGACTACTGCAAAACTTATAGAGTTTAAGGCCAAAGCTATTCAAGTCTCTAGCCTGCTCATCAGTATAGCATAGGCCACATAATGTCATGAGCTATTCATATATACATATATTCATCTATAACTTGCGTTTTAAGTATTGGAGAGACAGAAGATCTAACATTCAGCATTTTGTAGCAATACCAATTGTCTCATTATTAATTAAATAAGCAAGCAGCCCCCGTTATGACTAACTGGAATCTGTCTAGCTGCAGTTTCCTCCAGATGCTTGCCTAGGAGGATGCCTGTGCACTCCTTCTAGCACCTGCAAGCCCAGGCTTGCCAAAATTTTCTGAACCGAGAAACACAGCTCATCTGCCCTGACCTCTCAAGAGCAGACAGAACCTTATACAGTTTCACATATACGCACACAAACATGGGCATGTACAGAAGCTGAAATAAACCAAAAATCTGTATGGTCTAAATGTGAGATATCCATTTCTGAAGAATGCACCGTCGTGGGATTTGTGACTAACACCCCAGCAATTTCAGTAGTGTTGCACTGGGACAATTGCAGGCTGGAAGATATAGTTGTAGAAGGCCAAACTGCACTCAGAGATATTGTTGCAAACCTGGAAGGGCTTGTTTGCCCCTCTGGCTTCAGCCTGATTTACTCCAGGATAACAATGATGTGAATGTCACCGGTATTATCTTAAGTTCTCAGAGCCAGATTTTTATTTGGGAACCTATTTCCCATAGAAACCGAATAGGGTGTTGGATTTCCTTTCCTGGTCTGTCTATCAACTGCTAATGGATCTTACTGCCAGACAAAAATATATATAAATAGTGTTTGTGTGTGCATATGTATGCAGGTTTTTCCTTCTGTAAATGAGAACAGATTTTGGTATCATGTCTTTGTAGTTCAAAATAACAAGAAAAGCCATCAGTCCAGGATTACAACCTTTATAGGGAAACGAGGGTCGGAGAGGACAGCGAGGAGACGATGAGGGCTGAACCTCTCCAGACGTTGGCAGGTCATAAATTTCTCTATCACTTAGTTTCCTTCTAAAAAATGAACCTAACAATAATACCTCTCTGGCCCATATTAATATATGATTTGATATTTATGAAATGTGGATGAGTTTCCACAGAGAAATAGTTCCACAGAAAGAAAATTTCACAATCATTTAGTTCATGATGAATTTAGTTCTTTCCCCCTGTTGCTCAGGTACTCCACTGACAATGGCACAAAGTTTTTGAGGAGATTGATATTGTTTTTCACACAAACATTTAATGAGGTGACATTGCATTGCTCTCAGTTACTGCTTGCGGATTCCTGCAAATCCATGCATTGAGGACTGACAGCTGAGTCAGGAACATAAATCTATAAATCTGCTTTAGTGCCCACTGGTGTTTAGCTAATAATAGAACATAATCTCATTAGAAACCTAAATGAAATCATCGGTTTTTTCCTGCTTTAATATTACAAAATTATTCAGAGATGTAGCCGTGTCTGGACCACTGTCCATTTGCATTACAATACAGTCTCTGCCTGAGTGAACCCCGGCTGTTCCCACTAGCACAGTCCTGCATCCCCCAGTAGCACCTCCGAGATGTTTTGCACAAGTAGGTACCGACACAGGGCTGGAGCAAGGCTGAGCACCCAGCTGGCAACTTGGCAACGTTCATTTTTTACTTGCTTGCCCATTTTTACAACGCAGGGCTTCAAAGCCTTGTTGTGAACAAGGTGGGTACAAAATACATCCAAATTACACTATCAACATCTGGGCTGCCTGAGAGGCAGACACGGAACCAAATCTAATGAATCTAACCAATGAACAGCAACTTCAGCCTCAACACAGTCCCCGTCCTCAAATGTTTCTTACGTTTCTGTTTCTTGCTGCTCTGCAGCTGCTGGATGGGACGTTGCAGCGGTAGCTGCAACCCCCTGCTTAGAAGTCAGCAAGCGATGCCTGGCAGCGTATGACAGAGCTCCCTGCCAAGGGGGTCTCAGTAAATTACCCGCTGGGATATATTAATCAATTAGCCCTGCTTTATGCATTTTAGGAGAAAAATAAAAGGCCATTGTAATTCGCTCACACTTTAATGCTCTATTACCTTGCCAGAGACATACAATAGAGGATGGTAGGCAGGGAGGGGTAGGCTGATAGAGCACTTACACCCATTGCAAACAGCTTTCAGCAAGTCTTCCTGCTTGTGGGATTTCTCTATCATTCCCTCCTTTGTCTTTCACTAATGGCATCATCTCAGATTCAGCAGCAGAATTCAGAGCAAGAGGGTGCCTGTAATTGATATTGACCCAAAGACAGAAAGATTTCTGGCTAATGAAACGGCATCTTGTACATTCCTGGAGAGAACGCGTTCCTCCCGCCTGGCACCTGCCAGTTATTGATGAGGAGAAAAAGCAATTGGCACAGGTTGCCTGATATGAAATTAAAAAAAAAATATATATATTGCAATACACTTTTGGATTAGTGAGACCTCTCCTCCCAGCCCTGGGAATGCCAGGTATTGCTTGTGCTTTGCTTTGAAATAATACTGACCTACAGATACAGTCTCTGTGGTTCCTTCCCTGTCAGTCATTAGACTCCACATCAACAGCTTTCACTACCTCTTCCTAACTGGTGGTAAAACTCAGCCATGAAAACCAGCACAGTTCTGGTGACTTCTCTGAGGTTACACTGGTTTACAGGAGCGGAGGTTCTGCTCTGGGGCTGTACCACCTCACAGCTGCTGGGGATTCTCCATCATCAATGGGGGACCATGGGCAGCGAGGCTGATGCTTTGCAGTCCATTAGGTTTCCAAAGCTCCTTTTTGGGTGCCTTTTGGGATACACCTTTTGGGAGTGGGGCTGTGATGTGACTGTCCAAATGCCCTTATCCAAATCTGCCTTGTATGTTCAGACCCTTCTTTATTTCTGAGGAACTTCAGGTACAAAATAAAGCACGAGAAGACTTAAGAAAGACTTAAAAAGACTCAATGAGCTACTTAGGTTGATAGAGAGAAAGCATTATGTGCTTAGGAAGTCCTAGGGACATCCTAAGGGGAAAAGAAAATCCCTCCAGGTTACAGGAATTTTAAAACATAAAAAATGATGGTTAGGCAAGATATGAAGTTCTCAGAAAGGACACAGTGACATGCAGGGACTACTTTGAGACCTGTGGGCTATGAAACAAGCCCAATACAGAAAAGTCTTGGATTCAAAAGTTATCCAAGATAGAGTATGTGTTGCCCAAATGATGTGTTATGTCACCTGTGTGCAAAAACGCAGCTGCAGAAAAGATGGTTACGTGATTAGGACTCTCTGAACCTCAAACTTCAATTTCCCATTCTGCCACCACTTCTAGATGAACACTGTACTTCATTTTTCCCATCTGTAGAGTATCTCCTACCCTCTGGGGCTGAGTATGAACTTGTATTTGCAAGTCAAAATACTTGGTGCTAAGGGCCGTGTAACCAGGGAGGCAGTGTCAATGAGATAGATAGTGCTCCTCCTAATTTACACTAAGGAGAAGCAGAATCTTGGTACACTGTCTCTGCTAGTCTAGTTAGACAGTTTTTTTCCTATCTTGGGCTCCCTGGGCTCATACTCGGCCTGTTTTAATTCCTTGCTCTTTGCCTCTTGCTGCTGGTCTCCACTTGTCCCTTCTAGACCTACCCCTTCCCTCCTCCCTTTTCCCCACAAACCAGTGGGAAACACAACTGCCCCAGGCCAGAGGAGTACAGGAGGAGTTTCAGTTTTTTTGAAATATGTGCCAACACATTTGCACCCATGCCTTGTGAAGACAGGGACATTACGCCCACATGTGCAAGAGCCAGTCCTTAAAATAAGACCTAATAGTCAGATTGATGTTCACATCCTCTGGCAAAAAAGCTTTCTTGCAAAGACACCTCAGGGCAGATTCAGACATGTTATTTCCTCAGCCATGCACTGGTTTCCGGAGGTACCGAGTAATTTGAAAGCTTTTTGCTGCTTCTTCTTTTTTTTTTCTCCCCACTACCTTGGCTTTTCCCCAAGAAGAGACTTCATGTGAAATGTTAAGATGTGCACAATTGGCTTATTTGTGATCCTGGGCAATATTTGCGTTAGAGATGAGACAAATGGCATGTATAGTCAGTTTAGGTGCCTCACCTGTCCTGATAGGTTTTGCGATGCCCTCCGTGGCAGGATCAGCTGCCTGAAAGAGAAGCGAGAGAAGGAATGGTTATTATGGGAGCATACCCATGTTCAAGTATGACCCTGCTATAAAAGTCAATCTTAAAAGTTTCCATTGCATGCCGTGAAGGCAATACTCAGCCTGATGCACAGGGAGCCAGCACCAGGTGCTACAGAGCGTATGGCTCCTGTAGAGCCTCAGAGGTCAGTGAGGGATTGCTGTGGAGCAAACAGGTCTGGCAAGCTCTCTGCACTCATTCAAATATCATCCTCATCACTGCCCTTTTTTTCTAACATAGAAAATGTACATTTCTGACACAGTCAGCAACTCTCTCTGTGTGGTAAGAAATGTGTGCGGTCTTTGTTGGGGATGTTTTGGAAGCACAAGCCTTGAAAACCTCACTCTGTGGCTTGCAAAGCTTGGAGAGAGTAGGACAGAGTGGGACCGGACAACCTTGAGACCCAGTGTCCATCCCTGGGAAGCCAGTAGCTGGATGAAAATAAAAGCTGTAGAGCCCCAACACAGGTCTGAGAGTGACAGAGCTGTCCCTCTTCACCTCTCCTCCTACTTCTTGCTGGGATGTAAACCCAAGTGTCAAAATGGCGCGGGAAATTGTCCTCAACCAGCATGGCCTGAGAACTTCTCAGGAAACATGCTCCAAGTGTGAAATATGGTAGGTTTCATCTGTGGTCTTGCTTCTGTTTTATCACACCTCTCTGCCATCCAAACATGCAACCCTGAAGCCTGTGCTTGCTTGCATATCACTTCCACACAAGTAAAGTCACTGACAGCTCATCAACATCCATCAGTGCCCTCGAGGAGCCAACAAATACTCCTAACAGCCAAGGAAAGATACTGAGAGTGCCTCAGTGCTTGAAACTCTGTGTCACATCCCTTCATTCACACTCACCGGGCAGTCTCACAGTGATTTCAGTATCAGGGAGTGGTTTTTGCTCAGGCTAGCCTAAACCAGCTCCTCTTACCTGGATACCAATTACCTGGGCTAATTGTGCGGGCTAACCAGGCCAGTCCCAATTTAACATAGAATCATAGAATCATAGAATATCTGGAGACGGAAGGGACCCATAAGGATCATCAAGTCCAACTCCCTGCTCCTCACAGGACTACCTAAAAACTAAACTATATGACTAAGAGCATCATCCAGATGCTCCTTGAACTCTGACAGGCGTGGTACCGTGACCACTTCCCTAGGGAGCCTGTTGCAGTGACCAACTAGGATGTCCAAGAAGAAGAAAGTTGAGAAGCTGGTACCAGCTTTAGCAGAACATCTAATACCTCCTGGGAAAAATGAGGCACATCATGCACGTGGTGGGAGACAGCTTCATCCATAGTGGTCTTAAAACATAAGCACTTCATTTCTGTGTGTAAATAGGATAACGTGTGGTGCGGGGAGAAGGAAGATGGTTGGAGAGCGAGAGAAGTCATGTTGTGTCTGTTTGTGGTACTTAATGTTCTAGCCTTAAACGTTTAAGAAGATTTTTAATTAGACTTTGGCCTAACACGACCATATTTTCAACCATGGCTGAAGTGTAGAGCTGCATCTGCTCACGGCAAAGCAATGTTATCCTTTGGTCTAATGCCAAAATGCTGTGTCCTGCAGACAGAGATGGCATAGGTGCTTCGTAATTTGGGTATCTGTAATACATGATTTGTTCATTTTCTCTCCCCACACCTATGTAACACAGGGGAGGAGTTATCTGTTGAGTCAGTATTTCTCCAGATGATCTTCCTAAGCTGTATACCGGAAGGCTGCTGGGTTAGGAGAAGAAGGGGAACCTAGAGCTGTAGTTTGAAAACCACACATTTCCAAGCTTTTTGGTCCCCTACACGTCCTCGTCCCTTGCAAACTCTCACGGCTCCTATGCACACGTATCATCAAATGTGGGACTGAGAAGAGTCTTAGCTGAAAACACTCCCAAGGACCATCTGCCACAGCCTCTCAGCTCCTGCCTTGGACCCTTGCACTGGGCTGTCTCTCTCACACGCACTCAGGGTGCAGGGAAGTATTACTTTTCAATGCAATGTATGAGCATTTCTGCCCTCTGCAGAGAATTAAAGGCATTTTTGCATGAGAGAAAGGGGATGCTCTGTCCCCAACTAGATTATGCTAAATGAAATCAGGCAGCAGATCCGCTGCTTCCTGTAGAGAAGTGTTTGGTAAAGTGATTGAGACATTATCATCAGTGAGGTGTTCACCTTGCAGCCTCCCTCGGAGATGGTGTGCAGGACAAGGCTGATGGCTCACAGCTTGCTTTGTAGTCAGGGCAACAGAAACAAAATTAAAATGTACTAATGTATTGTGTTCTCACCTGGGAAGTCTCCCAGTGGGTGAAAACAGCAGATACTAACGCAATTTATTTTAGCGACAATTGAGTAGATATTCAAATAAAACTTTAGAGCTTGCTGTCGTGGTTTGAAATCTTACTGGCGTTACTTCTTTCTTTTCTAACAGCAAAAATATTGCATGGAGTGCTGTAATTTGGAATGCAAAGAGGCACACAGTAGGAGCCCAAAGAGATTAAATTCTACAGTGGCAGCTCAGGAAGAATTCATGACAATGAATTTCACCCTGTCTGGAGTGATCTGGGTGCTGATGATGAAGGATCTCAGTCTTTACTCAGCAAGCAGAATAATTCGAGTTCGCTTCATTAGAGAAAATGATAATCAGGTGCCAGTGAAAGTAAATTCTTTCTTCTTTCTCTTAATCATTTTAAAAGAAATTCTCCCAAGCTGAGACAGACTGGTGCTGCTAGAGGGTCATTCCAATGTCCTGTGTCAGAACTGCGAATATTCATTTAACCAGAGGCCAAGAAAACACACCCTGAAACCGCAGTCCCCCAGAAATTGCCCTGGGGTCAGCTTAACTAGGTCCAGGGCTCTCCCAAGAGCACGTCGTCCGCACAACAGCTCTGCGGGGATGAGCTCTTCGGACTGCTGTCCTCAAAGGAAGTTTTGCAATTTGGAAAAAAGCCTCAAGACTCTCCCGTGTTTCTGCTCAGCCTCAAACCGTCGTTACCCATCTCTGGATGAGGGGGAAGGAAGGCAGTGGCACTTGATGTAGGTGGCCCTGAGTTGCCAAGAGGCGAAGGTAGAAACTAGATGTAAAAACTCCAGAAAGCAGAGCACTGTCCCCGCTGCTGATCTGATAATGAGCATCACAGGAAACAGAGCTCCGTGTGAAATTCAATTTTTCCAGTACTGACAAAACCTATTAAAGTGACACCTCTAGACAGCAGGTGACTGTCACTGTACAGAGTACCGATGGCACGAGTTGGAACAGCACAGTTTTCTTCTAAAATGCCTCAGTAATTTTCCTGTAGTGTTCAAGGAGTGGGAAATCTGCTTTCAGGGGAAATTTTCAGTGTTGTGGTGGTTTTTTTTCTTTTAGTTTTTGTCAGGGTTGTCCACCAGAGGGGGCCAATAGGCACCGATTGGGGCAGCCTGGGGCAAGATTATTTTTAAGCAGACATAAATCACCAAATAGATAGTGCAGGAACATGCTAAGTGCTGCAGGAGCGATTTCTGATTACGGCAGTCCCGCTGCTAAAGGGGTTTTATTTTTTTGATTCCAGCAGCCTTAAAGACTAGATCAGCAATTATAAATATCTGCACTGACTCTTTCATTTGCCACACTGGTGCCTTAACTCTGCTGAAAAATTTGCCCACGCAGTTTGGAGGTTAAAAATGTGAAGTCTACAAAATCCAGAGCAGTGATGGACCATCCCAGATTATGGATTTTGGACATTCACACAGAATTTGTTCATAGAGGTAGGTGGCCTAGGTGTCTGATACAGCATACCTTGCCAGTACAGCATAAGATTTGCTAAGGTCTGTGTGTCTTAAAATTATATTTGTCTTGTGCTTTCTGTCCCATACTCTTTCACTGATTTTACATATATCTCTATATACATAAATATCTACATAGATGTGTATATATACATATAACCAGCAACAGTGAGACGTGACAGGCAGAAGGGTGGAGGTTTTAGCATTCTGATAACAGTGTTAAGAAGAAAAATGAAGGCTATGGACCGCCATACAGCAACTATTCTTATTCCAGAAAAAAATAAAGTCACTTGTGAAAGATCGAGACAAGTGAATGGCCTGAAGCCAAGGGTTTCTGCAGATGAAAGCTGAAGAAATGAACTGACTCCAGCTCTGCACGTAGTTAGTTCCAAAAAACGTAGCTTAGTTCCAAAAAATGACACTCCCCAGGTCTGACACTAACGTGCTGTGCCACCCTTCCTGAAAACATGGCGTAAAGGAAATTTCTTGGGGTGTTGGAAAATGCGGGGGGTGGGGATAATGTGGATTAAAAGTGCTGTTGGATTCAGAGAAGCAGCTTTGGAATCATGGTTGCCTTTTTGTTTTGGTCTTTCATGTTGGATTTCCCTTATTCAGAGCACCTAGATTTTGGGTGATGCGAATGCCTTGTTTTTACACAGTTTGATTTTCCCTTTCCAAAGCGTCTTCCTCCATCTTAAATAGGAAAGTGTAAATTCATCAAAAGGAAGACAAGCAGCCAGCTCCCATGTACCTGCAATGGGGCTAGGGCACTGTGTGATCTGCTTGCCACCAGAAGCCGCCTCTTAATGCAGCGGTACCCAAGACATGGATCACAAGGCCTGCATTGTCCCTAAGGCCCTCAATACTCCTTTGGACAGAGGAAAATAAAATTTTCTATGGCAGCTCAGCATAGGGAGGGCATAAGGCTGCCACCATTGCTCCTGTGGTCAAGGATCACTCACATAATCCAGCTGACAACATCTGGAGAGAAAACCAGATCGTGCCAAGAGACGGATCACACAAAATGTTGGTCCTCTCTTGAGGATTGAAAATAATTAAGCCAATTGAAAATAATTAAGCCAACGGATGATGCTCTACTACCTACAGTAACAGGACTCAATAGCCACAGGACTCCAAGTACAAGAACCTCCCAGATGTCCTGTTCTGGAGCTGCTGAAGTCAATACTACAAGATGCTCAGCCCAGCCACAACTATATTTACCAAAGGAGTTTGTGCCTAGCCTTATGCTGACAGTGTGACCATGAGATAAAGTGGTTTTGGAGCAAGACCTGGAGTTTCTTGAGGAACCTGTCTCACAGAATCAACACTTGTTCCCTGGTCTGGAAATTCACGACCAGTCACAGATGGAGCATGACTATGCTGCTTCTGAACTGGGGGTCTTTCAGCTCCCTGAAAACAAGAACAGAAGTTACTCTATTACTGCCAAATTCCTCTCACAGCATAAAATTGCTGCTCAATTTTATTTGTGTTTCTCTCACACCTTAGCTTCCTACTTTCTCCTTCGGCCAAGCTTGTTTCCGAAAGAGCTGCAATAATGTCATCACTCTTTTAAATGAAAACCTTGACTCTTTCAGTAACATTGTTCCTCTGGCAACTAGTGTAACTGTGTTTATCCTGATGGAGAGGTAATATAATGCTTACTTTCATAATAAGTACAAATGAAAGCCTCATTATATAGGAAAGCTGTGGCAATTCTGTAATTACCCAGGCTGTTATTTTAAAGATCTCCCTTAATGTCCCACTATTTATCACTTGAAAACCCACATGTCTCATTCTAACCATGCCCAAACTGCTTCTCTTTTGGAAGAATGCTGATTTCAGGTAAATTACTCCTCTCTGATGCAACTTAAAGACATATCAGTCAAGCCTTCATGGTTTAATTTCTGGGTAATGTGCATACACAGACACACAAATTGCACAGGATAAATTTAGTAGGAAAGAATATTGAGCTGAAAGATCATATTTTGTTTTCCATGGCCTACTTCCTCCAGCAGCCCCACACTGGTGCTTTCATTCTATGAATAGTAGTGGAGGTACTTCAGCACTTAGATTTTTGCAATTAGATTTCAAAGCCTATAAAACATTTAACCCGTCATTTTACCCTAGTAAAGTTCATGGCAACATTCCTGGTAAGATTAGAAATGCACTTCTTATATTCACCACTACCTTTACCTCTGCCCTGGCTGTAACAGTCTCACCGATTCCCCATTCAACCCCAGATCCACTTGAGAGCAATCCTCTTTATTTTAAGAAGGAAAAAATGTCTGTAGGCAGAGAAAACAGTTGTTTTTGTCAGACCTTGCCTCATTTATATCCTTCAGTCATCCTTGCTATAACTACTTTCGCATTAAAAATCACACCCAAGAACAGGACTGACAAAAGAGAGAGGGACAGTGAGCTACTTTGCCCCCATCCAGTGCTCTGGGTAGTTCAAGAGAGCTCTGCTTCATCACATCACGGTGCATCCCAGCAGACAGCACCACAGTGTCACACATAGAGATGTCGTGTGTTATGCCCCTTACTAAAATTTATCAATATTTCAGAGGAACACATGTAGACACTATCAGACCAGACCAGACCATCTTGGACAGTGGTCACTCTTTGTAGAAGAGACAGGAGACACATATAAAACCAGGTAGCAGACGCTGAGACACTGACCTACCTTCTCTCCACCTCTCCCCCTAACTAGGCAGGACAGAGGGTGGCTTGCATCTTGGATTATGAGCTTTCCACTTCCATTTACAGAGCAGAAATTGCATGCTAGAAGTTAAGGTTGCCCATGGAGAAAAGTAATCTTTTTGGAAAGTTCTTTTCTGTCCCTCTTTGTTTCATCTTTCTCTCTCCTAATTCATGTGTGTGCATTTATAACAGGAGGCAGTGACTGATTTTCTGGCTGTAGGATAATTTTTGGAAAGCAGTAGATTAAAAAAAAAAAAGAAGAAAGAAAAAGCCAATGAATAAAGTAAGAAATTGCTTACCGTCCTCTGAACGACTAGGACCATGATGGTGGCTAAGGCAAAGATGAGTAACACAACAAGGGTAGCGATGATGAAATACAAACATGTTTTGTTACTGGCTCCAAGCCTCCTTGAAACGGTGTCTTCATTCACATGCATGGCTGAATCATGAGAGTCCTTCACCTGAGAAAGTGTTTGCTCTTGTGCCGAGCACATTCTTATATAGCTCTCAGAGTACTGCTCTGTATCTCCCCTTGATCAGGTTCAAGTTGCAGCCCATCTCTGTTCCTGGCAGGATTTTCCCCCTTCATCCTGGCTCATGTGATCTGGAAAAAAAACTTCATCACTTGTAGTACAAAGAAAGAGGGACCTGGGGGCGTGAAGCAGGACGCAGCTGAAGAGGGGAAGGAGCTTCATGTTCTTGATTAGGGATTTCGCGACAGCAGTCTTGTACGCTGCATGGGAGATTTCTGATGTCAGAAGGTGAATAGTTACCAGGATCAGCCGTCCCGCCCCCCGTCACTGGCTTTCTGTGAAACGGAGAGCTATGCAAATTCTGTTTCATTTTATACTCAGTGCAGCTACAGTTTGGTACAGTAAATCACCCCGGAGCTCTGCCTTCCTGTTGCACAAAGTAACCTCTTCTCATTCCCAGTAGCGTCCCAGAGCTGTGATCTCCAGAGCTCTGCGTTCAGACATGACCTAGGCTTTGAGTTTGGTGACTGTAGCTCCTGCCTGTGAAGGTCTGGAGATGTTGGGTGAGATTTTCATTGAAGTATTTCATAGAAATGTATCAGGAAGACATCTTCGATGCAGGATGCAAGTTCTAGGCAGAGGCATAGAAAGAAAGTCACACCAAAGTTGCTGAAAGCATGACGTTAGGATGTGCCCACCTTCCTGGTCTGGCTTATTTGCAGCTAGTGAATTAATGCTTGTTTCTATCCTGTCCACAAACGTCTCCTCTGTCCTAGCCTGGGAACATCACCCAGGCATGGGGTTTCTTGGGGAACCTAAATGAGATTTCTTCAGCTGGAAATATTCCTACTTCATTCCAGTGTGAAAGGACCAGACATTCCTAACCCTGCATGTTTTATGTGAGATGACCCCTTGTTTTTTGGCCAGTCCAGCTCTGAAGGCACTTGGGTGTTTCTGAAAATTTTCGCAGTTAGATGTGTGTCCTCTTTTGATTCATATCAATGCAAGCCAGTTAACTCACGTAGCATGATCAAAATGACTAGGAATATTATTTGTCTCAGCTATTCCTGGTTTGGTGATACAAGGACGTCAGAGAGGCCGAACAGGATCTTATTAATGGTCCTTTTAGCTCAACATCTTTCCTTTAGTAGAGAGCAACAAGAGATGTTTTGGGAAGAATATCAGAACACAAAAAGCAGGTAGAGTTATTTATTGAGTTTAATTCTTTGGTTTCCTCTGATTTGGGCTTGTGGGACTCCCAAACCAGAGGTAATACCTTTCTATTTTAATCCAAATCTTCTTTACACCCCTGACATCACTTGGCATCTTACTATTATTACTACTACCTTTAATAAGATCACTAGAGCACAGCACTACAAAAGCTTCTATAGATTTCCAGAATAGTGTTTTTCAGAGCATCTCTTATCACCATGGAAACAGGCATGAATTATTTTAATCAGAGACAAAGGGAAGCAGCCTCCTCTCCTTAAGCATGAGACAATAGTGTAACACGCTTGGTCAGGGCTTCCTCAGGAAATCTGTCGCTCAAGCCTGACAGGTTGGATGAGATGGATCTTCACCTCATCCTTGATAATGTGACAATTCTGAAATGCAGGAAAATCCAAACTACAAAGATCTTGCAGTGACTGGCAGCATCCACTATTCTTGCAAAGGCGCTTCAACATCTCTTGCTTACAGCTGAGTAGATACATACCTCAGCAAGGAAGATGATTTTAGAGAGAATAATGGTGGTGTAGTTTTAAGGACGTCACATCATGCTTGGTGTCATGAGGAGGGCATGGTCCTCTGTGAGCTTGTAGGCTTTTGTGGTTGCACATGGATGTGCATGGTCAACTCTTCAAACTGTAAAACACTTGTGCTAAACTTAGTTGTAAGTAGACAACCAGATACTGTAGTGGTGACGACTACAAAAGAAAAAGAAATCAGTGAAGGCCAGTGAGGGAAAACAGGACAATTCATCCCCTGTGTAAACAAGTGCAAACCAGATTAAATTTGGCCTGTTACTTTCTAAGCTAAATTTAGTTAGTCCACTAGTATTGCATTGGAAACCCACAGAGTTTAGTGAGTTGGAAATGCTGAAATCCGCTGGGAAAGACACATAATAATATATAGGAGCACAGAGCATCCACTCATGCAGTGATATCATGCTATACAGTGTTCCAAGACAGCAAAGGCAAACAGCTAAGATTGCTCCAGATAACAGCAGGACCTATGAATGATTCCCCTTTCGTGATGGGTGAAATATCCTGAAATGTAGAAGTGAAATACTGCTCAGCTAAGACAGCTATACTGTTAAGACAGCCAGTAATATTTAAACAGAGTAACACTGCAGGATGAGTAGATATTTTGGTAGCTTGGTCTTTGGCAGTAGATAAACTACTGCACCTCCCTGTTAAATAGGTGTTATTGGGGTACTGTGGTTCTATATCCTGGCTTGTAGGCGGTGATGCACTTTCAAACATAACTTTAGTGCAATGCTGTGTTACCCTCTAGTTCCTAATGTCACCCTACAAAACCTATCATATTATCTGTCTGATTATACCTGATGTCCAGAGCATGGTTTGCTGCTTTCAAGCCTTCTGACCGATGTTGCATCAATTCCCACAGGCTCCCGTTCAAGAGGCAAAATAGCAGGTGCTTGCCCTGTATTTGCATCGGCATGTGCTGTGTCTTCTGCAGCAAAGAGGGTGAAAACAAGTGAACCACAAAGCCAGCAGTTCTAATTATTTCTTGGTAGAGTTTGCAAGTGACTCTCTTCAGCAGAAAATTACAAAATATCCCAGCCCCTTGTTAATATTTATTTATCTACTCCTCTGCTGAAAGGAAATAAACTTGCTGAGAACAGAAAGCCCATCCACGTGGTCAATGGAAATTCACCCTTGACTGAATGAACTCTGTGAGAACTGAAAACCTTTCTGAAAGACATTAATGGCCAGTTCTTCAAAGGTGCATAGGTACCCAGCTGCCACTGAAATCCAGGGGTGTGAAGTGTATAGGTGCCTTTAGAAGTTTCTGGTTTTATCCTCAATGGGAGGATTGCATTTCTCATCAAAACTGTCATTCATGTTGACACCCAAGTAGTTTGCTACCAGAATCTTGTCCTTAGCTTTTCAAGATCTAAGAGAGCTCAGAGAAGATGCACCGTAATGTATATTTTATTATCCTGAGTGATTCCTAGTACCCCCCTAATTAAGGTTCTTAGATAGCAAAGGTGCTATTGGGCTTCTCATCTTCAAAGAGAGACCCCATTAAAGATAGAGTTATTTAACTTCAGCTGAGTTGCACCTGAGTGCACACGTATAAACATGTGAGCACATGTGGGCACTTGTAAATCACTTGATATGGAAATGCAAAATCAGTAAATTGAGGTTACTGCAAAATGTCATTAGCACTCAAGGTATGAATCACCTTGTTGTCGGCGGTTTTTAAGCTTCCTCCGATGAATCACTCTTGTGTTGCGCTTCAGCATTATGTTTGTACTCCACATCTCAGCCCGAGCCAAGGGAGATGGGTGCCTGGGCCAGGGTTGACAAAGTTGTTTGTTGGGGTTTTTTTAAATTATATTTATTAGAATCTGTGTCTATTCATGTGATCCTGATCCAAAGGCTGGTCACAGAATGAAGTAAATGACATTCCAATGTCACACTCCTAACACTGTTGTGATTATATTGTTGGCTGTCGCCATAAAATGGTCTTTTGAGGGAGATGCTGCGTATCTCTCATCCAAGCCTTCTGCTCCTGAAACATATTGGAAGGTTTCCAGGAATAGCAATGTTCTTTTCTCATTTTGTTTCCCAAATAAAATTACTGAATAAAAATAGACATCAGATGGGAGGAAAATAAGAGAAAAAAAGAAAGATTAGAGCTGCCATTGTGCAGTATTATCTCCCTGGGAAGCTACATAGTGTTTTTTTGTGCTGTGCAACTGTCTGTCTTGTTCAAAAGAATTATATCACTCAACCTTGTAAGGCAATAGGAAAACAGATATATTAAATTAGCTGAAAATTGGCTATAGGGGGAAAAACACCTTTTTATACTGTAGATATGCACCATCCATCTGTTTTGAAGTGCAGGTAGAAACCAGAGGCATTAGGATAGATAATAAAATTCAATAATAAAGCAGTACAAATGGAACAGTTATAAAAGTGCAATAACTTCCACAGATATTTCTCAGAGAGTGCATTTGCTCAGTAGGAGTTACTGCCTGCCCAAACAGTAACAGTTCTTCCCATGTAGCATCCTCCCAAAAGAAGGGAGCTGTCTGCTTTGCTGGGAAATCTTCGGTATCTTTCAGCAGCATTTGCTGGTAAGAGTCAATCCAAGTGGAAAAGCTCTTTTCTGGGTACTAAACCCCTCTGTATTCTGATTAATGACTTGGCATTAAGATGAAGATAATGCTTGAATCACAAAGCTGGAAGAAATGGGATAATGAATAACATAGCTTAAATTAAAAAAAATGCAGAGTTGTTTAGAATGTGATTTTCAGGCATGTCTAGAGATTTCAGACACCTGAAATTCCAGTTATTCTGATACAAAACACTGGAAGGATCTTCATTTCCAGCATGGTTCTCATCATTTCCTGAAACCCAGGCATTTCTGTGTGATTCAAACAGCATAATAAAAAATTGAGCCACCTGGAAGTATATTCAGACTCTGGTGCTTAGTCTGGGGTCTAAATTCAAAAGAAAGAGGATTGCATGACTTTGAAGTTCATTAAGAGAGAAAAAAAGGACATGTACACTTGCTGGTCTGAGTACGGTTCTTAAAGTCTCTGGACATACCTGGAAATCTTGGCCTGAGCAAATCCATATGGTGATTTTGGCTCAGCAGGATTTGGGTGGGAGAAAGAAATAACCGTAAGCATTGAAACCCACAGAAATGAAGGGAATGGCTCTTTTTCATTGTGCTGGACTTTGGATGAGGTCTGCAGGCAACACACTTTGACCATGTGTTGTATGAGGGAAAATGGCACTGAAACCAGCTGTATCCAGATACACCCA